TGTGTGTGTGTGTGTGTGTTGAAGTGAAGTGTGTTGTTGGTATGTCTCGCAGTGCAAGGTGAGCTTGACTCGCAACAGTGCACACTCTTGCAACACTCAAGCAATTGTATCCATGTCGTGTGCAGGGCTGGCAGCAGAAGCTTTAGTGTCCTTGGTTTTCTACTACAGCTGAGTTGAAGGGTTTATTTCATGGGCCTTTTCAGATCTTGCGGCAAGCAGAGTCTCGCGTCAGATGTAGGATGTAGAACAGGCACCTGAATCTTCACTGCAGTCCATGCGTGCTAATGACTCAGTAAACTGCTCGTGAGTCTGCGGCACTTTGCGTGTCTTGTGCAGTCGTTACCGCAGATTGTTGTAATTCCCAGGCGCAGGAGCCATCCAAAACGGATTTAGGGAGTTTGTTGCTGATTTGGCGGTTGGGGCGTTTGGGGGCGGTGTTTGGGGTTTTGGGTGGTTTGTGTTCTTTTTCAAACAAAGCAGGGGCTGGGTTGCAATTTTAGGGTTTTCTTGACTCAGAGCCAAATTCTTGAGAAACCTGGCCTCCTGGGGCCTCCTGGCCCGCCTTGGGGGCCTGCCTCGGAATGCCTCGGAATGCCTCGGAATCGGTCCTGGGCCCTTCGAATAATTTGGCCCAGCAGGTAGCCCAGCAGTCCAAAGTGTTTGTTTTGTCCTCGAGCCAATTTGCTTCGGGTGGCGGTGGGGGTATAGCTTCCTGAGCTGAGATCCTTCGAAGCCTGGGTGGCCTGCTGGCCCGCCTCGGAATGCCTCGGAATTCCCATGCTGCCACCAGCCTTCTTTGGAGCCGTGAGGTCCTCTCAGTAGGTTTCCAGTAGGGTGGTGCAGTAGACCTGCAATTTCACAACGTTTCCAATAAATTGCTTGGTTTTGTATGAAAACAACACATTCGGCTTTCTGTAGCTCTGCGACACCACGTTGGCCAAGTTTGGCATTATGGCGGCTGCGACACCACGTGGTGGCGCCAGTAGCAAAGGAGAGGAAGACCCCAGTCCCACCGGCCCAGCCGGGATCTGAGCATTGCAAACCGAAAGCGTTGTAGGCTTTATCACTTTATCGTAGACATACATCAGCTGGCTCTGGACTTTCTGTGCATTTCCTGCGCGCTTTCAAGGCTTTCTGTAGAGCTCGCTGAAGACTTGGTTTTGTAGACTGTGTAGGATGTATTGATTCAGCGCTGGTGGTTAACTTCACCAATTCATGTGAGCCGTGCCCGTTGCTTCGTGCGCAAGGTCGACAGTGCCAGCGACAACGAAGAGATGAACATCGCTAGCGACGAAGTGGATGCGGAGGCTGGTGAGGTGCCTGCAGTGCAAGACAGTGCAACACCGCGTCTCACAATGTAGTAGCAGCACACAAATGCATGTATAGCTCCGGCTAATAAAATTTCCGAGATCATACCCCAAGGTACATTCTCCCGGCTATAAACTTTCCGAGATGTTAATACCCCGAGGCGGCTGTGCTGTAAGTGTTGTAAGCAGTGCTCCAGGTACTAAATTTTTCCGAGAGTTGAACCATATAAGACAGCAACGGGGTCCTTGCTTTGCAGGATGATGGTGCAGACGCTCTTCCTTTCGCTCTTGTGTTGGATGATGGCATGCCACGGCTGAAGCGGCAGCGTTGCGAGCCTTCTGCGAGTTCTGGTAGTTTTGTGCCAGAGTCAGACGAGTCAGATGCCTTGGCCGCAGCAGCTTCGGCGTTCCAGGCAGCGAGGTCAGCGGTGCCATTGGTCCGCAAAGGCCCCAGGTCCGTTCAAGAAGCCTTCAGGTGGCCAGAGACAAAGCTTGATCAAGTGTGCAAAGATCCAAATCGCGAGCATCGCTTGAGGTCGTTGCTTGAACATGGTGTGTTGGCTTCCTCAGACTTCAGCGGCATGGGTGGCGATCGAGAGATCATGCGCCAGCTGGGCTTGGTGATGCAAGCCCGTCAGTGGCCCCTGGACGCCGCCGCTCGCTTCAGGCATGTGCGTGCTTGTGACATTGGGAGATTGCAGCGAACCGTGTTGTCCTACATGTCAATGAACCATGATGACTTTGGAAGCTGCGTGACTGGTGACTTGATGGAACGCTTGCCAAGCACGTTCCTTGAAACCATAAGTGATATGCAGCCTTCAGAGGGAGACGATGTGGACACCTGCGTGCGCAAGAACTCGTTGATTGACTCTTTCATCAAAGAAAACCGTGCAGAGATATTTGCTGGCAGCGCGTCTTATTGCTATGTGCATGACAACATGTGCTTGACTGATCGTGGCTTGCACTTGCAGGACGAGCAAAGCCAAGTGCCCTTACGTGTGAACCTTGCTGGCACCACCTGTGTCGGCTGGTCAGCAGTTGGCTCCAGGAAAGGGTTTGGGCACACGTCGGAAGTCGCGCACAGTGTGTGGCTGAATGAGAGGCTGCACAACGCCGAGGCTTTGAAGGAGGATATGTTCATACATGAATGCACCATGCTGTATCCAGCCCAAGAAAAGCTTGCCGATCCTTTGTCGGAGACGCATGTAGTGCTCAGCATCAAGACAGGACCCCAGTCCCAGGGCTTCCCATCGTCTCGCAACCGAACTTTGTCTGCAGGCCTCTCCAAAGCCACGACAATCTGGATGGGCCCTACAGCTCCAGACCTGTTGCAGCGAGACTTCGACAGCATCTTTGCTACAACTATGGAGCTTTCCGGAAATATCTTTTTTCTGGAGGACGATGAAACTCAAAGACGGTGCAACATAGACAAGGCTGTGTGTCAGCGAGGTAGAAACCGTCTTGTGTTGCAATCCCTCAACCGTTGGGACCTGCTCCAGAGTTGCTTAGCCCCTGGTGCAGCAACCCGGCTTCGGGAGTATGATGAGAAGCGTGCAAACCGTGTTGATCCTGAAGGAGCTTTCCTCGCAGACGTGGAGCACTGGCCGGGGCAGTGCTTGGGTTCGGGAGGGCCCCTGTTTCCTTGCCAGTTGAAGCATGGAACTGTTGTGAGTTGGCAGCATCAGCGTGCGGCGACTGGTATGGAGCATCTTGCTGCGCAGGGATACCATGTCTTCGACGTCGTGGGGCCAAAGACCCCACTTTACAGCCTTCTTTCCACACTTGATGATTGCAAGCTGAAGCAATTGAGCGGCAATGGCTGGTCGCTACCTGCCGTGTGTGCTTGGATGCTCTATGTGTGGAGCAACACATGCAAGCGCCCTCCAAGTTCCTTGCTCCGTTTCCTTGCATGCTCGCGAATCAGGTCGGGATCAGATGATGATGATGTTGATGATGGACAGATCGGTGTAGGTTGTTCCCAGCCGGAGCCGGATGCGGAAGCATGCGGTCTGGATGCTGCAAACGAAGTGCCGGAGCAGGTGAATAGTTCAGATTCAGATGCTGATGTTCATGCAAGCTTGGTGACCAGTTTGGTGTACCAGGAAGAAGATGATTTCGCCCCGCAGACGTGAACCCAGCAGGTCCAGTGCAGCTGTGTGCTACAGCCCTCAGCATTCAGATGCGTTTTTGTGCCAGCGGCCTTGAGTGTCGCGTGCCGTTCCTAGTACCTAGTGGCGGCACTCTCTACATGGCTTCAGAACATGCAACAAAGGTGCCGGTAGCTTTGCTTTGCAGGGAGTAGGGTCCAAGCTAGGTTTGGGGTTTGCGACGTTTGTTCTAGGTTCTAGGTTGTTAGGTAACTTTGAGGTTTGTTAGGTAACTTTGAGGTGATCGTGACAGTTCTTGAAGGCGTCTGTTGATAGGGTGGTCAGAATGGTCTCAGGTGCTTGTGAGTCCTTGAGGCCCTTCTTCACCTAAGACCAGTAGTGAAATAGGTATTTGTGAGTCCTTGAGGCCCTTCCTTTATGAAAGACCAGTAGTGTTTCCAGTGCCGTAGAACTGTAGGGCTAGGTACACCTGATGCTGATGTGGTTCTTGATCAGGAACCAAATTCCCTTGACAGCTTTCTTTGCAGTACCGTAGTTGCCTTTGAAGATTACTAGGATCCTACAAGGATTGTTAGTAATCTTGGTGCCAGTTCGCTTGTCACACTCGTTTGCGTGTTCGAAGCAGGCGTATGAGTCATGACTCATGACCAGAACCTCAGATGCAGTCTCCGCCGTGGTAAGAAGATCCCAAGAGGTACCGTGAAGAAGTCGTCAAGTCTTGTAGGTCTAGTAACTAGTAGGTGTCACAGACGTCCTTGAAGCATTGGAACCTTTAGCTGCGCTTTAGCTTTAGCCAGAGCCCAAGTCCCACCGAAACCACCGAAAGCCCAATGCCCACAAAGCTACGAAGCAGTACATCCTGTCAGGTCTGGCCTGACAACGTAGAGGAACTCGAAGGAGTAGTTGTAACGTGTCAGAATCGTGCTGCGATTGCTCTTGCAGCTCTCACCAGTGCCAGTGCTTAGCTTGCAGGTCATGGGCAGGACAGTCTACATGGTAAATCTAGTGTCAGAGGTAAGACTAAGACTGATGTTGCTTGCGTGTGTATTGTGTGTTCGCAATAGGCACCTAGTCACCGTCTCAGATCGCGTGTGTTTGCTTCTGCATCAGAGTGCAGAGTGGCAGCTGCGCTCAGAGTGACTTCAATGGACGAGGAGGACCTTGACCTTGCTGATTTTGGCTGTAAGGCCAAATCCCCAAAGAAAAAGACAGCAGGCTCCCCGAAAGCCAAGGGTAAAAACAGCAGAGCGAAGGCCGGCCAGCGGGGCAGTCCGAAGAGGGGTGCGAAGACCGGCAAGGGTCAACGGCCGGGCAAGCTTCCTTGCATTTGTTGCGAGGAGATGAGGGTGAACAACTCGCGATTGTGCAAGGACCACAAACGGTCTGCAGATGCGATGTCCTACCAGGCACAGAGTGCTGATGATCCAGATGCCAAGGAGACCTTTCAGCAGATCTTCGCGGATGATGCTGCCATGGCTGCAGCCGTGAACCAGTTTTCGAAGGACAACCCGCCATGTGCCAAGTACAGGCGCAAGCAGATGATCGACTGGTTGCAGTACAAGCGTAGCTATGGTACCAAGGTCACCCGCCGAGATCGTGGCAGTGACGTCCCAAAGACTGAGAAGGAGTTCAAGCTTTGGTGTGTGAACGTGAAAGGCTTGTCAGAGCAGGAGACCAAGGATTGGTGGGCCAAGCTTCTGGACTCCCCCGGTGTGGACCGTGACTATGAAGGATATGGTGGTAAGCTGCGTCTATTCATTCCGAATGCAGAGGAGGGCCGCGACCGCCTTCGTGACCAGTACATTGACAACCGGCAGGAAGAGGGCTCTGCCGTCGACAAGCGTGCGAAGCCCCAGGACCAAGAGGCCCCGGGGTTTCCAATTATGAGGGTCCGCCAAGGTCCGTTTTTTTGTAACCCCCAGCTAGTTGGACCCCTCTGAGTACCCAAGCCAAGGCAAAAATGTTTTTTTCTATTAGGTTGGGTAGGAGGAACAGGCTCGTGTTTTGGGCACCCGTAGAAAGACCGACCGGGTTTAGGGTTTAGGGTTTAGGGTTTAGGGTTTAGGGTTTACTGATGTTCTTTCATATTTCCAATTACAATTGTGCTAAAGTGCTTGTCATGTCAATGTATATTACATATTCCCCTGGCATATTTTGTTTGGTCAGGAGCTGCGGAAGCATGTGCATCGCCAGCAAGTCAGCTTCGCTGATTCGTTCTTCCAGGGCGGCCAGGGCGGCAGCCGATCGTCGACTTCTGATGCGTCTAAGCGCAAAGCCGAAGACGAAGAGCAGCGTCCAACCAAGAAGGTTTGTATGGAACGAGAGGTGCCCAAGTTCGGTGTGGCCATGTCCAAGAGCATGGCAAGCCTCAAGTTGGAGATGCAGAAGTCGTTGACCCAAGCCAAGAAGGCGTCGGAGACCTTGGAGAAAACGGATGCCGCCCTGAATGACAAGCCCTCCTACGTGTTCAAGGCCACTTTGCAGTTCAGAATGCAGTTGGGTGTGCGATGGCTGGACGATGTTTCCTCGGTTGTCGTTCTAAAGACCAAGACTGGATCAGGATCCGCAGCCGGTGTCACGAATCAAGATGCCGGTGAGCCATCAACCCCACGCAAGCAGCAGACCGCGGTTCCTGGCGCAGGTTCTTCAGGTGACCCACGCCAGGGCGAGGGCAACGGCAAGGACCAGGAGGTCAAAGACAACGGTGGCAGTGACAAGGAGATCCCCGCGAAGACAGACAACCACGGCAATGACAAGGAGAAGCCCGCGAAGACAGACAACCGCGGCAATGACACGGAGAAGCCCGCGAAGACAAACGACCGCGGCAATGACAAGGACACTGCCACCCCAAAGAAAGACAAGGTGCTAGAGTCTGATGCCAGGTCCCCTGCCCAAAGCGAGAAGTCCATCCAGATTGTGTTTGGAAACGCCGAGCCGCAACTCCTCCAGGACTATAAGGCTGCCGTTCGTCAGCAAAGTACCGTGGAGCTCCTGACCAACAACCCCCACAAGAAGCCCTTTGACCAGGACCCCAAAACCTTCAGGACGAATGCGGAGATGGCCCGAGAGATGCAACGCATCATGGAGATCAGCGATGAGAAGGAGTTCCTCAAAGCCCGTGATGCATGGAATGCAACCGTGACAACCGTCAAGGAGTTCATCAAGAACTTGGCAAGGGCTTCCTCGGACATGGTGACCCACATCAAAAGCTTGGAAACGAAGGCCAGGGCAGAAAGAGAGAAGTCAGAGAAAGAGCGTCAAAAGGCGGATGTGGCGAAGGCCCGTGAGGATGCTAAGAAGGCTGCAGAGGACATCCGAAAAAACCTTGCAAAGTCTGCTGCCCAGCCTCTCCTGTTCAACGTGGACTTTGCGGAGGCCAAGGTTCCCGAGATTTGCAAGCACGAGGGCAACGGTTTCCACGACAAGAAAGCGGATGAGCCATGCCTGTTGATCAACAGTGACAAGCAAAAGCTTTGGTTGGCCAGCGAGGCCGTGGACAAAGCTCTTGCTTCGTATGGCACTGCGTACAAGAAGGCCAAGGATGTGAAAGCAAACGGTCGTGGCCAGGCTCCTCTTCAAGATGCATCTGCTAAAGATGAAACTTCCGACTTCCTCTTGAGCATGCTGCCCGACGACACCAAAGTGCTGAACATTGAGGAGATTGTGGAGGGCGGCTCCACGTTCATGGACAACTGCTGGTGTTACTCCTTCATGCCGGGCAATGTTTCCTTCAGCATCCCTCCCAATGGTGCGGCTTTTGTGAGAGCTCAGGCTTTGGGATCGACGTCGTTCGTGTTGTTCAAGCTCAAGTCTTTGCTTGCGTATGTCAAGAGCAAGCACGGAGCAGATGTTGAGAAGAAGCCTGCGTTGGAGGTCGTTACTCAGTGGGGGCAAGACGCAGTTGCAGATGCCTTGGGGGACGAGGCAGATGGCAAGGTGGAGATGATCCGTGGAAGCTTGAGCGCGAACCAGGCAATGTTCGTTCCAAGCGGATGGGTGATCTTCGAGCGTGCCCACACCGAGCAGGCAGCAATCTATGGGGTCCGCAAGTCCATGTTCATCGACTCCATTCCGAACTACGTCGGGTACGAGGCTGTCAAGATGTATTACGAGGCATGCTCTCCTGACCGCGACCTTTCGAGGATGACTACCATTTTGGAGGCATTCATGAGGAAACCATGAGTGCAGTTTTGATTTGGTCGTGCGGGCGGCAGGCCAGCGGAGTCTGGCTTTAGCTGGCGCATGAACGAGGATCGTGCAGCATCCAGGGTGGAGCGGAAAGTGCCGTTTCGCCTGTGTATGAAACTCCTCTAAGTCATTTACAATCTTACAAAGCCTACAAATTTATGATGTTGTACAAGGGGTCTTTTCAGTTTAGTTTCAGACTTTGAGGGAGGGAGGGAGGGAGGGAGGGCGGGACGCCAACAAGTTGCCCAAAACATGATGCGCGTGCGCCCTAAACCCTAAACCCTCGGCCACTTGGTGTTCCAGTCAGGACTGGCGTTGATGATTGATGGGGAAACATGTCAACCACTTTAACAATACGAAGCCCGAAATGTTAAATCTAAAGAGGTTGGGGCTTTTCCAACATACACTCGCCCCGCATTCCGAATCACTGAAATTCTGAGCTGTGTTTTGGACCCTACAAGTCTTTTCAGTGTCCCAATGTTCTGTGCAAGTTTCATCTGTGTCACGAGGGGATGAACAGCCTGAAGTCGCAGTCGCAAACCATCCACAGTGGATGCATGAAATGCGCATCGTCTCATCAGGCCCTGGTTGCACTGTTTGGGGGTTCTTTCACAGGCTCCTGTTTGTAACAATGCTCCCGCAGACCCCAAATGACGCCCAACAGCCGAATGTAGTCGATCTTACTGGCTATGTGCTCAAATGCAGTCCGTGTGCCTGTGTATTAGGGTTTTGCCTTTTCCTGTCATTTATGGCCTGTGGGATATGCAGACCCAACAATGTGGAAATTTGCCAGCGACTACTAGGTAGCTCAGCCGTGGCGTCGCATCGCATGCGCCCGCGTCTCCGCCGCGCCGCCTCTCAAGACTGCCGTGCGATCCGTGTAGCAATAAAAGAACAAAAAACGGACACCCTAAACCCTAAACCCGACCCTAAACCCCAGAAGAAATTGTGGCTGTGAACCCACACCCAGAGACTCCAAAACTCTTCAAGTTAAGCAATCTACCTTCTTCCCCGTAGAATCATGCTAAATAGGATAATCCCAAAGCCATAAACCCCTACATGAAGGTTGATGCGCAAACCCTAAACCGCTGAGCCACAGGCACTACCCTCAAACCTAAATCCCTCAACCCTCAACCCTAAAGCTTGTACATGAACTGTCACCCCTCCTCGCGGCAGCATTTGTGCAAGGCTGCCGGCCTTTGAAGTCACGGTTCCGCGCTTCAGGATTTGGGTTTAGGGTTTAGGGAGTTTAGGGTCTAGGGCTTAGTGAGTTTAGGGTTTAGAGGGCACCCTGAAGCACTAAAACTCCCTAAACTCTATTAATTAAGCCCTAAGCCCTATTTAATAGACCCCCTAGGCCCCGAACCCTAAACCCTAAACTCCCTAAACCCTAAATCCTAACCTTTCCTAAGCGTATAAACTCCCTAAGCCCTAAATCCTACACTTCCTCTACCTTATAAGCCCCAAACTCTCCAAACCTTAAGCCCTAAACTCCCTAAACCCTAAACCTTAAACTCCCTAAGCCCTCAACCAAACCCCTGAGATCCAGGGTTTAGGGTTTAGGGTTTGAGGACTTTGGCCAGGGTTTGCTGGGCCCCTCGTGGGCTTGCGGCTAAAGGACAAGTAATACAGGGGCCTAAACAAGTACCAAGACTATTTTGGAGGATCCTTATTATAATGAGAGTAAAATGGGCCCCAAAACCCTATTCTAATTATTAAGGCTCCTACATTAAGGTTGAGGGCTTCTAAGGCGTTTGGGTTAGCAGAAGTTCAGGGTTTTGAGTTTAGGGCGGTTTAAGATAACTCGTGCAGTGCATTAACCGCGGGGCACAAAATATTTCAAAGCAATGACCCAGAAGGCTTTGTGTCGTATGGTCTTTGGGCCCACGCGCCTCAAACTTCTGGCCAATCTGTAATCTGTCTAAGCAACTTAAAATGGGCACTCAAAAGATCATGTGACTCAGCAACCAGCGTTCTAAATGAGGTCACTATGTTTTGATTTCTTCCACCCCTAATTAAGGTAGTTACTTATATCCTTAGTTACTAGGTCCCATGATTCTTTAGGCAGGTCAGCTCTAATGCTATGACGGATGACTGCAGGATTGCGTGCATCAGCAGTATCCTCAGCTGTTGTCTGCGCATTTTGCAAGGGGCGATGGTGGCTGGGAGTTCGCCACGGAGAGCTAGCTTCGGTGAAGCGGCGGCAAGAGGCAAGCATGGGGACTTCGGGGTGAAAAGGGCTGTAGACACTTGCTCTAAGCGTGTTAAGATTTTAGAGTGTGTCTCTGCTTTGACTCAGGTTTGAGGGTTGATGGGCATGAGGATTTAGACAGTTGGGTGCCTGTTGTCTACTAAGGTCAAAAGGCACTCTCGATGCCACGCCAGTTGTTGGTGCCTTTCTGTGGCTGGTGAGAACTCCTCATCTAGGTCCGCCAGTAGTACCGCTTTCGAGTTTAGTTTTTCGGCTTCCTTTCCCTAAGCCCTAAACCCTAAACCCTAAACCCTAAACCCCTAAACCCTTAGGAAACCGGCGACCTGGCGACGAAGGCTTCTCCAGTGTCGCCAAGAGGGTCGCGACACTGTTCTTCAAGCACACGCTGGTGTGCGCTACGGTTTAGGGTTTAGGGTTTAGAGTTTAGGGTTTAGGGTTTAGCGCTGCCACAGAAACCACACCGCAATGAAGGGTGGAGGCAGACACTCCCCAAACTCCTAAACCCTAAACTCCCTAAGCCCTCCTTAAACCCTAAACTCCCTAAACCCTAAACCCTAAACACCTTAAACCCTAAACTCCTTAAGCCCTAAACCCCAAGCCGGATTCGGGAAGTCGTCACAAAGCAGTGGTGTCTCGCTGCCTTGCTACCTACAAGCACCTTCTGGCCATGCTGGCTTGTCTCCATCCTACCTGGACCCTACACCCTAAACCCGAAGCCCTAAACCCTAAACCCTAAACCCTACCCCGTAAGTATGTAGACTAATGAATGGCCTTTGGTAGGTTTTGGGCCATTGTTTTACTTGCTTCTGGGGGTTTAGGTAGCTATTTGTGGGTTAAATCACTTTTGTGCTATCATATACAGTTGGCTTTCAAAAAACGGAGGCCCCCCACAACGGAGGCTGTGGGTACTTCGACCTCCAGTAGTCTTCCACCGGTAGCCTACTTACCAAGTCCTTTTTGACCGTTGCGGAGGTGGTCTCCGGATTTATACGGGCATGTAGGAAGATGCCAAGAGAAGGTTCGCATGGCGTTTATCTTCCTGGCACTAAGTCACTAAGTGCGAGTGAATTTGGGGTGCAGTTGACAAGTCTTCTTGGCCATCGCGGCTTTGATTCCTTGCTTCGAGAGGTGAAGCTTCTACTGAAAAGCGTGCGAGCCCAAGTAATAAGTCCAATATGTGAGATCCTCCTCTAAAGGATTCCCCTAAGCTCTGAACGATACTCCTAAACCCTAAATCTTCAAAAACCTTTAAACCCTCTTAAGGATACTTGGGCCTCAGGTGGTCGTCAGGGTTCAGGGGTTGGGTTCAGCGCGTCAGCGCTTTTAGGTTTGCAGATGGTCCGAAGGACCTAGTTACTAAGGTATAGGGTAGTAGCTATTGTAGGTTAGGATCTATTGTTTCAAAGCATCCATTTATTCACTATTTAGGTAGATCTGTATTTGGGTATGCATGGATTTTGCAGGTTAAACCCTGGACCCTAAACCCCAAACCGCAAACCTTAAACCTCAAACCCTAAACCCCCCAAACCCAAAGCCCTAAACCCTATAAACCCTCCACCCCAAACCCTAAACCCCAAACGCCAAACCTTGAACCCCAAACCCTCCACCCCAAACCCTAAACCCCAAACGCCAAACCTTGAACCCCAAACCCTAAATCCAAAACCCTGAGCCTGCAACCCTATAAACCTTAAACCCTAAACCTCCAAACCCCCAAACCCCTAAACCCTAGAAACCTTAAACCCCAGACCCGAGACCCCCAAACCCAAAAAACCCTAAACCCTAGAACCCTTAAGCCCCAAACCCGAAACCCCCAAACCCAAAAACCCCTAAACCCTAGAACCCTTAAGCCCCAAACCCGAAACCCCCAAACCCAAAAACCGTAAAACCCTAGAACCCTTAAACCCCAAACGCGAAACCGTAGTATATGGGAGATTCCGAAAATAAGAGGTACCTTATTTTGGGGTCCTTATAATAAGGATCCGTAAGCTATTTAGGGTACTAGGTTAGGGTCCCCCATTATCGGAAACCTCAACCCTAAACCCTAAACCCTAAACCCTAAACCCTAAACCCTAAACCCTAAACCTAAACCCTAAACCCTAAACCGTAGTATATCATCACAAAATGTGGTGCTTGGAACCCCCAGGACTCCATGAAAGAGGTTGACGGAAGGTGAAAGCTAAGACCCACGAGCGCCAAGCCTTATTAGGGCTTTGGGCTTAGAGTTTAGGGTTTAGGGCTTAGGGTTCAGGGTTTACAGTTTAGGGTCTAGGGTTCAGGGTTTAGGGTTTAGAGTTTAGGGTTTAGGGTTCCCTGAACACCTAAAGTTCCCCACAACCTCGCAGATTAGACCCTCAACCCGTCAACTCCGCATCCGGAACGAAGCCCTCACCCCAAACTTTATACATACATATATACACACACATATATATATATATATATTGTTTTTCATTTATTCATTTGTTTATTTATAGACCCTCAACCCTAAACCCTAGGTTCTCAAACCCTCGACCCTAAGCCCCTCAACCTTCAACCCTCGACCCTAAACCCTAAACCCTAAACCCTAAACCCTAAACCTTCAACCCTCGACCTTACATTTTCAACCTGGTGTCTCCAGGAGCTTCGTGCTTTCCTTTCGGTGAGCAGTTGAGCTGCCTCTCTGCTGGGCTCCGAGAGAGCGGAGTTCTAGAGTTTAGGGTTTAGAGTTTAGAGTTTTAGGGTTTAGAGTTTAGGGTTTACAGTTTTAGAGTTTAGGGTTTAGGGTTTAGGGGCACACTAAAACCCT